CAGAAGTTTCATTCACAAATTTATCAAAACAAAGTTAAGACAAAAGAAGCATTTTAGCGCCCCCTCGTGGAGATGGCCTGTTATCTGGTTCCATTGACCCCACTCTATGTCAGCCCCCTATGTATCCCAAAGGGCTTTGCCTGAGGTAACTGCGACCCCTAGCCCTGGCCTTACTTGGCCTTCTGGACAAGAGGCTCATTCCATCCACACGTGGGGACATCTGAAGTCTGCACCCCTGTCCCTCCTTCCTTCTTCCAGGCCATTAGGGGTGGTAACCAGGCTAAGAGGGTGCTTGGTTTTCCCACAGACTGACTCTCAGTATACATCGGCAGTGACAGAGAACATCAAGGCCTTGTGAGTACTGGAAACCCAAGAAAGCTGGTGAAGGGAAGGCCCTTGGGGTGCTGGGCAGACAGAAGCCTGCCTCCCCCACAAGATGGTGCCTTCCCTCTATGGGGGAAGATGCTTCCCCTGTTGGCTGAGAGAGGGCGAGTGTGAAGGGGTGTCCAAGCCCCTCTGGAGACTCAGTGCCTCAGTACACTGATTGTGGTGGTGTGGGAAGGAGAGGGGATGTCTGCCTGGTGAGCCCTAACAAAGGGTTGGCTCAGAGGCCCCCATAGCCCTGGAGGCTGCACACCCACTGGGCCTTCCTGCCCCTCTCTCCAGGTTCCCCACGGAGATCCATTCCGGGCTCCTGGAGGTCATTTCCCCTTCCCCTCACTTCTACCCTGACTTCTCCCGCCTCCGAGAGTCCTTTGGGGACCCCAAGGAGAGAGTCAGGTACTTGCCCACTTCCCCCCAACACCTTGGTGGCCCCAACAGTCTGTAAGATTCCCATCTGCTGAGAATCCAGCCTGTTGGTATCTGAGTCCAGAGCGCTTGTCACCATGTGTCTGTCCTTGGAGGACTGCTGCATGGGGATGGGGGATGGAGGATGGGTCCCTCCCACTCAGTGGCTTCTCTGGCAGTCACACTGGAAGTGAAGGAGTCTCAGGAGCTGAGAGCTCTGCCCTCAACCCACAGGTGGAGGACCAAACAGAACCTCGATTATTGTTTCCTCATGATGTATGCGCAGTCCAAAGGCATCTACTATGTGCAGGTCAGCCTTGAGATCCTGTATGCCCCTGTTCTACCCCGGACCTTGGTTGGGCCTGGATGCTTAGCCCTGACCTGCCTCATATCCCTTCCTGCTCTGGCTTTGGTTAAACTTGGATGAAGAACCCTGCCCTGCCTGTGTCCATTCTGAGTCCCAAACTTTCATGCAGCTGGAGGATGACATCGTAGCCAAGCCCAACTACCTGAGCACCATGAAGAATTTCGCACTGCAGCAACCCTCAGAGGACTGGATGATCCTGGAGTTCTCCCAGCTGGGCTTCATTGGTATGCCAACCCTTACCCAGTCCCACTGGCCTGTCCACAGCCCTTCAATCCTGCCCACCCCTCTGCTATTAGCTCTTAGCTCCAGTCTCATGCTGTCATGCTTATGAGCCTTTGTCCAGATTGAGGTGTCCTATAGTGCCTGCTATAGCCCCATCTGCCCTCTGCGTGGGGATGTCTGGGTTCACCATCCTGTCTATCCCCTTATGCCCCCACCTGCCAAAAGCTGTTTCACAGATTTGTAGTGGAACTCTTCCAGTGGCTCTCACAGGAATTAAAGAGGGTCAAGCAATGCTATCCATTCTGTACCCATTATTCCCCACCCCAACCCTGCCTCCAGGAAAGATGTTCAAGTCATTGGACCTGAGCCTGATTGTGGAGTTCATCCTCATGTTCTACCGGGACAAGCCCATTGACTGGCTTCTGGACCATATTCTCTGGGTGAAGGTCTGCAACCCTGAAAAGGATGCGGTAAGTAGGGGGTGCACAGAGTGAGGAACAGGAGAAGCTGGGCATTCAGCCAATAGCATTTGACTATGTTCTCCTCCACATGTCTGATCATGAGGAGATAGCCCTGCTGGCCAGGCCTGCCCTTGGAGTTGGGGCTCAGCTGAACCCTAGGGTGTCACTCTCCCTTCACAGAAGCATTGTGACCGGCAGAAGGCCAACCTTCGGATCCGCTTTAAGCCGTCCCTCTTCCAGCACGTGGGCACTCACTCGTCACTGGCTGGCAAAATCCAGAAACTGAAGGTGAGGTGTACCACATGCTCCTGAGGCAGGGATGGGGTTCAGGGTGAAGCTCACTCATGCTCAACTCACTGTTCCTCTGTGCCACAGGACAAGGATTTTGGAAAGCAGGCCCTGAGGAAGGAGCATGTGAACCCACCCGCCGAGGTGAGCACAAGCCTGAAGACATACCAGCATTTCACCCTGGAGAAGGCCTACCTACGTGAGGATTTCTTCTGGGCATTCACACCTGCTGCAGGGGACTTCATTCGCTTCCGCTTCTTCCAACCATTACGCCTTGAGCGGTCAGTGTCAACAGCCACAGGGCCACATTGGGGGAGGGGGCAGGGTGCTGACCTCAGCACAAGTTCCTACGCCTGCATATGACCCCCAGAAAATTGACCTCACTGTTATCTAACCTCACCATGCCTCAGTTTTTTTTTTAATCTGCAAAGTGGGGGTCATAACGGTACCTTACTACCTTGTGAGGACTAGTTTAGTCAGTGCCTCTAGGTGATGGTTGTCACTAGATCATTGTCAATGATCATTGTCCCAAGGTAAGGCCCTGGCTGCCTTTCATGGCCCATAGATCGCCTGTGATGGTATCTACCCCCCCCCCCCAGCTCTGGGGCCCACCTGACCTTTTTCTGCTGAATCCTGGGCAGTGTGTCACCCTTTGCAGCAGCTCACCCATTTGTCTGGCCATGTGCAGGTTCTTCTTCCGCAGCGGGAACATTGAGCACCCAGAAGACAAGCTCTTCAACACTTCTGTGGAGGTGCTGCCCTTTGACGTGAGTGTTCCAGGATGTGGGTGGACACTGAGGCTTGACCCTCTCATGGCAACCACTCCAGCCCCTTGATTTGCCCCCAGAATCCCCAGTCAGAGAAGGAGGCCCTGCAGGAGGGCCGCTCAGCCACTCTTCGTTATCCTCGGAGCCCTGATGGCTACCTTCAGATAGGTGAGTAAAGGACAGTGGGGGCTGGGGGGCCATCTGGCTGGGCTGAACATGCAGGCCCTGTTTAGGCTGAGTGTTAGGTTTTGGCATGTTTACTTCTCAGCACTGCCTTCCCCTAGGCTCCTTCTACAAGGGTGTGGCAGAAGGTGAGGTAGACCCTGCCTTTGGACCCCTGGAAGCACTGCGTCTGTCCATTCAGACTGATTCCCCAGTGTGGGTCATTCTGAGTGAGGTAAGCCAGGGCAAGGTGCAGGGAACAGCAGGGAAACCATGACAGAGCCCTGAGCCCTGAGCCGCACTGACCCTGTGCCCAACTCCTCCAGATCTTCCTGAAAAAAGCCGACTGATCGAGGGCTTCTGAGGGTGATCTGTGGCCAGCCCTGAAGCCCATGTGTCCAAGGATGTTGTCGTTGCTGCCCCTGGAGGGCCAGGCGCATCCATCCTGTCCAGAGGGTTCTGTGCAAGGCCTGGGGTCCACCGCTGGCCCGGAGGCCCCAGGAGCTGGTGCTGCCCCTGCCCGCCAGCCGCGGGAAGAGGCAGGCGGCCCCCACACTGTGCCTGAGGGCTGGCCCACTGGCTGCCCGCCCGAACTGTTCACACCCGGCCAGCTGGCTTGGGCCAGGCCGTTTTAGAAGAGCTTTTTCTTGGGCGCCCACTGTCTCTGGCGCGAACACTGGAATGCATATACTACTTTATGTGCTGTGTTTTTTATTCTTGGATACATTTGATTTTTTCACGTAAGTCCACATATACTTCTATAAGAGCGTGACTTGTAATAAAGGATTAATGAAGTGTGTGCCTCAAATGTGAATGCTCTGAGTTCTGGCCAGGCAACTCCTGGTGTGCCTCTACACTTGCCCAACCTCCAAGGACCCCATTTGCTGGTGGTCAAAGGAAGCCCTGGTACTCAGAGACCCCACCCTGTATAAGCTGCAGTGATGGACTTGATCTCTCAGGGCTAGGCCAAGGGCCCACCCTTCTGCTGATACATGTCCAGAGCTTCTGCAGCCACTGCTCAATAGGACCTTGCTCAATTCCAGGTAGGCTCCTGGCAGTCTAGTCAGTAACTCATGGATCATTAACTCGGAGTTCAGGTCCAAGCACCCAAAGCTGCCCCCATCCTAGGAGTAATCCCTTCCTCAAGTATATCCCTTTCCCATATCACTGTGGGCTGGCATCCCCCTGCCCCTGCTGCCTGTGCTGCCAGCCTTTCCTTGGTGCCTCTAGTTAAGGTATTCACCATCCTCTTTATTCCATCTCCTTCATGGTTCTCTGTCCTTGTCCTTGTCTCCTGCTCATGTGGCTTCCCTAGTCTCAGACTAGGGTCTTCTTCCCTAAAACAAATGAGCCACCTCCAGCCAACCTCAGGGCACACATTTTTGACCCTACTTATAAAACCTTTGTGCTCTGCTATCTAGGCTAAAAGTCACTTTTAGAAATGATTTTCCCATAGGCCTTCCTGGTGTCTGGTCCCCCAAGGCACCCTGATGCTTTCTTGAGAAAACCTATTCTTGACTACACTTCGGTTCATGCCCACTACTCTACTGCTCTTGACATGGGGGACACAGTACTGATCAAAACAGGGATCTCTACTCTCATTTGGGAAGAGTGGGGAGAGACTGACCAGTTCTGGTTGTGAAGGCAATGTGGGGGAAGATGAGGAATTAGGTAGCCAAGGTCAGTGGAAGGGAAAGAAGGCTTGAGGGACAAGGGGGAAAAGAA